CCTGTCCTGCGCCCATAGGCTCCAGACCCACTGTGATCCTGAATAGGATTAGCAATTAGCAAGAAGATGGATGATTTGTTTGGTATATGGTTTTAAACAATATGCCTACATGCAGGGTAAACGGAAGAAATCTAGCCTATAGTATATAGATACAGTATATTTAGTATAACTCTATTGTGGTTATATAGTCTAATCGGGGAAAATAACAATAGGCTAAACATCGCACAGTAATCTCGTTAACATCACGTTGCTGTTGAAATACATTGCATAGACATCCGGGGAATGTCGAATAAATATTTAGTAGCAATGATTCTGCAACATTGTAGCAGTGAGCAAATGACCCAATAGAGATGCTTTGCCGATGGATTGTAAAGCATCTCAGTAACATCGCGCCTATGCATGTGTTCTGTCTGGGCAGTCATCTTATTTCAGTGTTACTGCTGTGACAGTGTGAGACTAATTTTATCTATCACTGTACCTAATATCACCCATTCATTCACCAATTCATCTACCTAAAAGAACCGATCACACCCCGCACTGCACCACGCTCTCTCTGATCCTGCAGCACTGCTCCACTGCTCCCACCGTCTCTCAAGGTGCAAGCAAGACATGCATCTAGACTCCTCTCTGTTTTGGCACCTATGTGGTGGAATGAACTCCCCCTAGATGTCTGAACAGCCGAGTCATTGGGTGTCTTCAAACAACAGCTAAAGACCTTCCTCTTTCGGAGGTACTTGGATTATCACATCCAGAATAATACTCTTATTATAAAAAAATTTATTATTTGGCAGCAGAGCTTTTTAGAGTGATAGTATTCTTAGCCTGGTTCTATTGAACCATTATCAGATTGTATTCACTGATGAGACTTCTAAGCACTAATGTAAGTTGGCTAAGGACATCTGCCAAATGCCGTAAATGTAAATATTGCACCACCGTGAGGTCAGATGACGTTAGATCATAAACAGGAAATTAGGGGGAACAGGTTGCATTAATATTTACAAAATAATAATACAATACAATAATATAATACAAAAGTAACATTTAGTGAGTCCATTTAAATTTCAGTACTTAACTACGGTAATTGTTACTTTGTAAAGCGTTACTACCAACACTGACAGTGACCAAAAAAAGTATTTAACATAAATTGTTCAATATTTTTCTAACCATTAATTATATAATATTATTATATATCAATCTTCTATAAAGACTTAACCATTACATAGACATACTAAATATATAGCTTGTTTTTGTATTTATAAACAAATGTTTTATTACATTGGTGAGAATTTTATATCTGTAATTACTTTTGTTCTACAAAAGTGCTCTTTGTAAAAATAATTCCACGTTAGAGTAGAGTGCATTTTCCTGAGCCATGGGTTTATCAGCACTGCACTCTACGTTTTATCAGTCTAACCCAGTGACAGACTTACAATCATTCAGTTTCGTATCGTGTTTTGGGAAAGACCAGCTGCATTCTGTATGGCGGATCACCTGAGTTTCGGCTAATCTGCCATATTTTAGGAAAGTTGGCGGATAACAAACCATTGAAATTTCCTTAATGAACTAGCAAATAACGCAGAACAGATAACATAGAAAAAGAACAGGTATTAAGGAGCAAGGCTTAACTAAGGAAAAATGCCCTGATATGGTCTCTGACCTGGGTGGGGTTACATGCAGGCATTAAGGGATAATAATGAAAATTAGACCCACAACTCGCACTGACACAAAGCCATCTTTGTCCTGGCAGCGATACGACCAGGCCGCTTCTCAACAGATTAGTGGTGGCTTAATGGTTACTAGTGGGCTAGTGGGCAATGGTGGCTTAATGGTTAGGGAAGTGCACTTGTAATTGAAAGATTACAGGTTTGAATCCCTGACCAGCAAGGCACCACTGAGGTACTCTGAGCATGGTACCGTCCCCCCCCAGCTGATGATTTAGCTGCCTGCTGCTATATCACAATGTCATATATGGTTTAAATGCAGAGGACACATTTTGTTGTTGTGGTGTATCAACAATGACAATCGATCACTAAATTCTAAAATTGACTTTTGACTGCAGGAACACTGTGAGTTTCAGCAGAACCTGAACACATGAAACCGATGCGACAGGAGGCTAACAAAAAAATGAACCTCGATTTACTCTCTATTTGAAATCTATTGACAATAAATGGGCTAGCTTAGAAATCTCTGGCAATATCTACAATTTTATAGGTGACAGAGTATAAATATGCCTACACCAAAGTGTAGACTTAAGTACCGTAAAAACTGCGATATTGACTATAAAATAAACTCTGTAATTGTGTTATGGTACATGTCTTCTCTGTGCTGTACGCTACGGCTGGAAATTGGTCTGATGGAATGGAATTCCGCTGTGGTGCTGACTGATTTGCAGAAGATAGATTGAAATAGTCCGCTCTGAGATTCATCACAGAAGTGAGAATAAGACTGACAAAACCAAACTCATAACCTCCTGTGATTTATTGCTATTTTGTTGCTGACTTGACTCTTTTCTGCCTCTGCAGCAGGGCACACATTTCTGCACATTTTTACTGCTGTTAGTCTTACTGGAGCAGTTCACATTAAGTGCACCGCCTGGGGGGGGTATTGGCTCCTCCCGGGTCTCAAACCACCAACCTTCAGATTACAAAGCTTCAGGAAATATCCAGAACATTATAGCTGCCAGCTGTTCTCTGGTGGCCTACCTCTTGTGTAGCATTTTCCCTTTCATACTGAAGTCCCGTGACAGAGATGTTGGCCCAAACCTTCCTTCTACTTCAGATAAGTGGTCTTCAACAATATTGAGTTAGAGTCTGATATAATGTTCCCTTGCGCCGGCCAAACTGCGACTCTGTCATCGCTCCTCTGATTCAGAGAGCAGCAGAGCAGACCCACGGTCCCCGTCTCCCAGTCCCCGTCTCCCAGTCCCCGTCTCCCGGTCCTGCTTCAGAGCATCATCTCCCTGCAGTTTACCACCAAATTTCTCCTTGACCCAATGTGGTTTTAGTCGTGATTTTGACTTGTGCAGTATTTAGCAATAAATGTTTCTAACATTTCCATTCTAACAAGGCTGTTTATCTTCTGTGTTTGCCTGGAGTGGTTGAGAATGACTTATAACCTACTAATTAGTTACTGCACAGAAATTACCAGGAAAAATAGACGCTACTCGTATGAAAGGATAGTTTGTACAGTTTCTATGTTTGTTTTGTATTCATTGAACATTTTACATATTTTTTAACATCAAATCACATTAAGTATGATTGAGATAGACTGATTACCAAACATTCCTGCATAAGTGCACCAAGGCTACTTATATTTAATATTTTCAATACAGTCAATCCATAAAAACACACGGGCAGTGGTCCAAAGTCATATAATAATTATGCTTTTTTTCTTTTTTGGTATCATGACTACAGAAAGTGATTGACGGTAATTTTCCATCAGGTATGGATAATATGAATAATTAATAGTATTAATGGATAATATGGGGCTCTGTGGGTTTAAGACTTGCCTGATGGTCAATCAAAGGCAGAAAACCCGTATCATTGATGGGCCCTTGAGCGAGGCCCTTATTGGGGTGCCGGATAAATGCCTAACCCTAAACCTAACCCTAAACCTAACCCTGCCCTCTGACACCAGGCTTACCCTCACCACTGTCTAATAGAAGAGCGACACTGAGCATGCAGAGATTGAATTACGTTGTGCTTGATATCACCTGCACAATGACAATAAAAGCATTCTGTTCTGTTCTTGTGTTTATGATATACTCACGAATGTAAAAGGGTGTTTTTATTGATATGGCTCCGTTTCTGGAACAATGGCAAAGCGTCACGCACCTCTTAATCATCATTATGCACAGGCAGCACACAGCCCGCTCGCGCGCCCATCCATCATGCACGCTGCAGTCTGAAGTTTACCAAGGAGCTATTTATGTTCTGTAAAAGGCACACAGCAGGCCGGGCGTGTGCTGCGCATATCCGTCAGCGCCGGCGGACAGACAGCAAGGGGCTAGAAGGCAAAAACGCCGGCATCCTCACTCAGCACTCGTCCGTCTGCTTTGCAGACTGTCTGCACATGCAGACATAAATAAACAAAAGCATGCATATGTACAGCTGAGGACTGAGTGCCTCATCTCCGTATTTCTTCATATCGACAGATTTCTTGAAACGCATATTCATATTTACTTTCATGACCTTTTATTTTATCAGTGCTTTCTTTTTAAACAAATTCATATAATTACCTATTTTTTACAGAAAATAATTGTAGAAGTTATTTTATTTGCACTCTGTACTCATTTTTAACTACTTGTATTTGTATTTGAATGTAAATCTTTATTATATTTCTAATGCTTGGGCTTCAGTTCTAACCTTGCCCAAACAGGAATCAGTTTGCATAAAACTGAGAAGTGATATTTTGCTGTCGGGATGAAGCCGTCTCTATATAATTCTGTTGCCTGTGGGTGTCGGAGCCAGAACTGGTAAATCTTCTTCTAAACCACGGTACAGCTCAGCCCCCCGAAACACACCCTGGCTTAGCTGCCCCAAGTCCCTTACGATCAGGACTTGCTGCCTGTTTTTGGTATATAATAAGTCGTAATGAAAAACACTCCCAACTCTACAGGTCTATAACTCACTTCTAGATTCTTTTTCTATCAAGACAATGACATTAAAGGAAAGTGTTCTGAATGTAACCTTTCCCGTCGTCACTGCATTTGGATGCGATATCACTTCTGACAAGATCTCACCAAATCCCACTTTATGCCGACTCATAATTCATCGTAAAACCAGCATGCACTGCCTGTGGCATTTAAAGACAAAATATCAAACATTCTCATAAATGCGGTGTTGTGAATAGGGGCTGGGACCTGTGTTATTATACAGTGATATTCCTTCACATCCTCGTCTAAATAACGATGCGTGCTGATGACAGCTCCGTGTCTCCACACCGCCATGTGCTACGACGTCCCCGGCAAACGGGGGCTGAGTCCGACGGCGGCCACTCACCGAAATACATGCTGCCACTTATCGATCGCACATCAGAAACTCTCCCCCTCTCTCTCTCTCTCTCTCGTCCTCTTGTTTTCTCTCTCCTCCGTGCTTCCCCTGCAACTTCAGCGCGTCACCGAGCACCATCGCATTCCGTGCGGCGTATCACTCCAGCCATCCCGTCTACTCAGTAAGTTGTCCTGGTGTCCTCCTCCTCCTTCTCCTCCTTCTCCCCCCGGGAGGATTTGCCTGGGATGTCTGGCTCCCGTATCGCTCCTCTCCGGCACTCTGACTGGCCTCCCGCGTTCGCTGCTGGCCCTCCTCTTCGCCACGCTCGCTCTCCTGCTCTCTCTCCTTCCTTTTTTTTCATAGAAGCTTGGCCCCTTGTCTACTGTTCTTCAGCTCTGGCTCTCCTGCCTCCGTTTCCCTTCTTCACCCTCTCTCTCTCTCTCTCTCTCTCTCTCTCTCTCTCACTGGTGGTAATATGACTCCTCCTTAAACAGCCCTCCCAGAACCGGTAACACTGCACTATCGCCGGTGACAGATCCGCTTCTCCATCCTGCCTAATTCATTCCCCCCTCCCGCCGCCCCCTCCCCCAGGAGACCGTAGCCAGGTGACAAGCATGGCACCCACCCCATTGCACACCACAGGAAGCGGGATGGCAGAATGGGGGGTAAGAGAGCTTTTATACCAGTGTTACTGACACTCATTCAGCGTCCCAGACCAAACAGGCATGACTTTGGTCTCTTATCCCACTCCTGTGACATCAATTAACTTTTTGAGTTGACAGTGACAGCTGGTTATTTACAAATCACCACATGCATCACGGCACAAAAGTGCTCTGATTACCATGCAATTATGTTACATCTTATACAAATGCGGGCGATTCACACGATCGTGATACATGTGGTTTGTATCAGGAGCAGCCTACTGAACTATCCTCCCCATTTTCCCTTCCACTGGCTACAGTTCGGATATGGCACATACTGGCCTTGCACAGCTGTTTGCAATAAGCCTTTAATTCTCCCATCTTTCCTGCCTTACCTCACAGGCCCATCTGAAATGGGATGCATTCCATGTACAGGACAGGAGCTCCTCTCCAGACTCGGTCTCCTACTGCAGAGCCAGCAAAAGTTTCGATTTTTTAATCCTTGACACTGAAATGTCAGTGCTGGAAAAGTGCAGTATTTGTCACCATGAAGTGTGCTTGTCTGCACTGGAGCCCCGGAATCCCAGCGTATGGTGGGATGGACTTAATTAATCATGCTGTCACTTCCGTGACTCTTTTCATTAGTCACTGCGCTATCTGATCCACTCCGTTTCAGATGTGTGCAGTTCGAATGCGTTCGGCGGCCAAATGCTTCCCAACTGCTATCTGATTTGAGCGCGAGGGAACAGGACAGTGCAGGAGCCTGAGCTGAGCGGAATGAGAATCCGAGCTGGTCCCTGCAGACGCACTAGCCGGCTCATCCGCACCAGCATGCACTGGTGGTCAGCGATACTCAATAGGCCTCACTCATCTGTCAGTTGTTGTTCATCAGAAACATGCGTCTTCTCAAGGCCAAACCAAGGACAAAGTTTCGCAATCATCACCATGCGACGGGTCCTCATGTCATTCATTTAGGTGGCCTTGCTGCCTGTTTCTTTAACAGAGCCACTTTAGCTCCAGGTAATCAGGGACGCATGCACATATTGGCAGTCGTCCATTCCGGGAAAAATGTGAGAAGTGGACAAATGCAAAAGTATATTTCACAGAGCGGCATAAATCGCAGGTGTCGTTGCTAATAAAGTGGACATGCCGCTACATGTCATTTTGTTTGAGAATCTGCGCCATGTGGCACGCCCAGGTGATGGGGGGGATGGTGGGGAGGGGGGGGTACAGTTCACCTTAGCTAAATTAATCTGGGAAGGGATTAGCTGGGTAGATTGAAAAGCACAGATTGAGAATTTGACCCGCATGGTGGCATGGAGGAGAGGCAGCATGCAGGCCACGCTGTGTGAATGTGAGTGCATTTATCAGCACGCTTGGAGCGCTGATCGCTAACGTGTCGCTAGCATCCCTCTGGCATCATCTAAACACCCACCAGCAAGAGCTCCGATCTTCCCGATAGAAGCCAGACATGCAGCATCGAAGGATCATAAGCTACCACAATGACCCTGCAATCTCATTTTATTAAATAAAAAGAACAGCTACTGCTACAGTAAAATCATGGGTCTCCAACCAATATCATGAAGAAGCTGAATGTATATATTTCCCCCAGAATCTTTGGATTCCATTGGCCAACAGACAATTTGCATGCCTTTAATAATGAAATTTTGTTATTTTAATGTCATCTAGTGCTTCTGGCTGAACGATTATACAAACAAACGATTATACAAACAAAGTTGCTAAATGCAAACCTGCTCCAGCAAGTCTGTACAGATATGTATCTGTTTAATCCCAGACAGTATAGACCGATTCAGTCAGTGTTGTCTACAATACACATTCATTGCAAACTGTTCCAGGAATCCATTGACGCTGTTTGAAAATAAACCCTTTCTGTGCACATAGATGCATTATGCATTTCATTCTCAGTCTCTATTTGTATATTGTACATTTTGTGTATTTGAAATGTTCTGCTATTCTACATATACATCTTCCGCTCAGGCAAAAGACAGAAGGAGGAAAAACACTCAGAAAACATCAATGCTGGGAAGAAAACAAGACCAGAGCAGAGAAACGGAGCGGCTCTTAATTAGCCAGGTATACATTCATATTTTCCATTAGTAGGTTTAGTGCTGTGTAAGGACTTTGATCGTGGGCTGTAATTTATTACTTGGATCATTCCGTTCTCTATATACATTTCAGTGATGCACAGCGTCAGTCTCAGAGTCTCTTTCTATGGGAGTAAGGTAATTCCTTTCCAGTCATACAGCATGGAAGAAGTTCAAAGTCTCCTTGATAGATTTGATTGGTATCAGTTGAAAAATAAAATCCCCCCCGTCTATCAGCTATTTTATAGAGCTAAATGAATAGAGACCAATTCCTGCTACGCTACTTAAAAAGTAATTCCAGAAGCATCCAGTACTTCAAAACTCAGTGTCTGTTAATTGTTACAATATGCGACGAGACGGATTGCTATGGATCTCGATTGAACAGAGAAAATCGGATAGTGGAACTACATCATCTCTGTATCTCGCTACAATAAATTCTGGCAAAAATATAAAATGCAACCGTAAATCTGCTATGAGGCAAACATTTCTGATTTGGCAAGAGAAGCAGAAACGGGGTGGCACTTGTTTAAAGCTGCAAGAGACGCAAACAGAGATAAATGGCTCTGATGGGCCTTCACAGCATCATGCAAAACCCACTGAAGGAGAACTCAGTTACTATTATACTACTTAATTAATATATGTGTGACTAACAGAACTTTTCTGTGCTGTTTTTTTCCATCGATAATTAAACTCCTCGTCACCTGAGATTAAGTGCATGTTTATAATGTAATTAAATAATTATTATAACAAACCTTGCAGGCAAATATAACCTAAAAGCATTTGAGCTTGCTCTCCATTCAGATCAGGAAGTTTAAAAATGTGTATACATTATTTAATAGAGTGTCTTTTAAAATCTTATTATTTTGCAGCAAATAGACAAATATAATTGCTTTCAGATTTTTGCATATTAGTTAGACACCAATAACACGGTATGCCCTTTAGGTACCTGGTACTGATTTGAAAATAGATTTCCCATTGATGATAGATCAGATTTATTAATGTCAGTTTGCTGTAATCACTTCTAAACCCTTGTAGTCTTTGGTGACCAGGGCTGTGTGTTTGTCTGAATCAATTCCATGTCTGCACATGCTGAGAGGAAACAGACACTATCCGGGGGATACTCTAACGTGTTTCTGAGCCTTACTACATGCATGTAAGTCCATCGCTTTTCCATGCAAACATGTTCTGTTCAGGGCCGCGGGGGGGCTGGAGCTCAGCAGCAAGGCTGTGGGTGCAGGGCAGGGATTAAAGATGAGGTGCAACCCCATCACAAGGCACACACACCATTTGGCAACTCTGATGTACCTTAGCATGTTATTGGACTCGTGGGGGGGGGGGGGGGGCACCCCATGGTGACACGGGGAGAACATGCAGACTCTGGGGCCAAGGCCAACCGTGGATCTCCAGAGGCAGGAGGTTGCCATGCAGACCATTGCACCACCGTGGTTCTGCACACTAAAGTCAGTTTTCCATGATGTAATCCTGCCTTGCAAAGACAGTGACTAGGTAAATAGGAAGAAAAAAAAAAGGACGACAGTTGGAAAAGTGAGGAAATATTCGGTTTGAAAAGCAATGTGCAAGCTGCCGACAGGACGGGATGAACTTAGTTTCAACATCACGACATTCAAGAGCTCAAAGCTGGATGATTTGAGCTGTCAGATTTCTATTCCCCGCACTGCTGCAGGCAAATAGCTGCAGCAAACACTGGAGATTAAAAAAACAAAAACAGAAGAGTGGAAGCACACTCTCACGGAGCTACGATTGCAGAACCTGCGCTGGGGTGATTCTGCAAGTTTAAACTGCTCACCGAAGATGAATGCATCTCCCGTGTGCACTGCGCTTGTCATCCTGGCTAAGACATATTGTCGACTCGGGCGCCTAACTGCGAATTCACATCGGGCCAGAAGATCATCGTTTTTTAACAGAGAAGGAACATATGCGTGACTGTGTGGTATTCGGCACCGTTCCAGTATTTCCTATATATATTTGATATTCCTGCTCTCTCAGTGCATTAATTTGTTAATATCTACCAAGTACATTAATATTTGTGTCTATGCCCATTCCTCCATGTTCACGCTTAAACTCTTACATTAACTTATTTCTCAATGGCAGTTGTGTTCCAATCACGGAATGTTCGACATCAGGACGTCCAATCAGCCTTGCCCTCTGGAAGGTAATGTATTCCCACGGGCCACATGCCTAACAATGGACAAACATCCTATGTTTGAACATATAGTTGAGCTGCCAGTTGTGTCTATCTGTACAATTGTGGAGTGAAACACTGTGCCAAGCAGAGTAACCCTTTCAATAATGTTCAAGATTCTTAACCCCAACTGCCCCAGGACTGCTAATCAGTAGCTGTAACTGCTCTCTGGCATCAAACTTTCCTCACTTGTATATCTGATAAATAAATGTAAAGAATCATACCAAATTATACTGTATGCGTGTGTATAAACTATGAATGCATGCATTTTGTAACATTACCCTGAGGTGTGTCCTGGGATCACACTGATATGCGTGTGCATGATATATGCCAATCTGTATGTATCTCTAAATACTGAAAAAAAAGCCATGTAACTTCTTTGTATAATAGCTGAAGCATTAACAGACATTAATGCCTTTTAAGTCTGTTTGTGGGGAATTCCCAGTGTCAGCTTGGCCCTCCTTTTGGGGGC